CTCTCTCTCTCTCCCCCCCCTCACTCTTGCATGCCTTATCTTTCTCTCCCCCCACGCACGCTCTCTCTTTCAACCCTTTTTCATGCTATATCACCTCTTCTATGCTTTCTTTTTTCCTCATCTTGCGCATGCTCTATCTGTTGTTGCGCATGCTTCCACCCCTGCACGCTCTCTTGTACACTCTCTCTTGCTCCCTCTCCACCCTTTGCATCCCCCTCTCTTCACTCTTCCATGTCTGCTGTGTTTACTGTATAAGTTGAGTGTAGGGAGAAATGTGTGCAGCCGGCCATAGTGAAAAATAGAGCGAATGAATGTTTATGGGTAGACAGTCGTCGTAATTACTCACCACAAGGCAGCCTGTTAGCAGGTGATGGTAAAGCCGTGCTGTATATACACATTATAAACACACACAGAGATGCATTTAGCAGGAAAATGTCAGCGGGATTTTGCAGTCCTCGTGCTAAGTGTAAGTAATACAATTACTGTTTGACTTGACATTTTCTGCCTAAATGTCACACACAGTGTCTCGGCCTCCCGTGTTTCATGTTAAAATACTAGTGTTATCCATGATGTCCAGGGTTTTTAATATGCATTTAAGTAAATGGCAGCTGGGATCTGTTCTCTGCCGAAACCAGAATCAGGCTGCCTGGATCCTAGATGTGCTTTTTTGCTTTTCTTGGTCATGACAGAGGTAGTCAGTCGCTGATAACATTCTGAAGTCATGTATTGCCATTGGCAGAGGTGTAGTATGTTTTTCTAATGTGAAATGTCACAGGAAGTTTCTGTTCTTTTGTGATGACCCTTCAAAGTAGAACTTCTCCCTTTGTACACATTGAACTTTAAAACATATCTGAACCCAGAAACAAAAATGTCATATATTGGGGCTTACAAATTCTTCGAGGTGGTTGCAGCATTAGTTTTCTTTTTTTTAAGGCTTTTCTTTTTCCCTGGTGATCCACAGATCTAAATTATATGAAAACAAAGTTCAGCTTTATAATTGTTATGCCGGGTTTAGTACAGACAGCCAGGCATGGCTCCTGCCAACTCAAAGGCAATGTAGCCACCCCCTTTCCTAGGAACCCTACTGCAGTCATGAATGGTGATAGCAAGGAGACCTTTGCAGCAATTATCACCACTCATAGACAGCATTTCAAACTCTGGAATGGATGTTGGCTTGTGACAGCATTGCTGCTTGGTGCCTGAATATTGTCTCCGCTGCCTGGTGACTGGTCCAGTTGTCAACTGTGTGGAAGGAAGTCAGGCAGAAACTCTGCCGCTGGACTGATTAAGTGTGCAGCATCCCAACAGCAACAAGGGCCCTGCTTATGTAGCATATATTGAAGGCACCATTTACACTGGTGTAGCATGTGAACGTGTGCAAAATTACACAATTTTGCATATGTCCCCGAGACACAAAAAAACGGTGTTGGCCTTGCGTTGCAATTCATTATTAATGAAAAGTGCCAAGTCAGATGAGCGTTTTTTGTGCATGCAAAGAGAACATGCGACGCTCAAGTCTCAAAAGATGCATGAGCCTCTTTGCCCCGTGTAAAGCAGCCCAACGTGGGACACACAACCAGCTTGGATCCTCCACAGTTGCTGTTGGGTTGTTTTTTCTTGGCACATGTGCACCTCTCTTACTTTCACATCATGACCCTCCTTGGTAGGATGAGGCATTGCAAGGTGCAGGGTCTTTCTTACTGTGCACCTGCATTTAATGGGAAAGCCTAACTTTCACCTTGTCAGTGAAGGTTCTCATTGATTCATGTCTTAATTTCACGTTCAATTGGACTTGTTTTGTAATGTCGGAGATAGGGCTGCAGCTAACGATTATTTTCAGAATCGATTAGTTGCCCGATTTTATTTTTTCAACTAATCGATTTGGTTGCCTTAAAAAAAAAACTCTCTCTCTCTCCCCCCTCTTTCTCTCCTTCCTCTCTCTCTCTCTCCTTCCTCTCTCTCTCTCGCCCTTGCTCCTTTCCCCCAACTAACCGATAATGAGAATTGTTGCCAACTATTCTCATGATCGATTTTTTTTATCGATGTAATCAATTAGTTGATGCAGCCCTAGTGGAAGATGCTTCACCACTCATTTAAGTGACTTTCCGGTTCCAATCAACCGAAATATATAAATATTTTTTTGTGTGCTATGTGAATAAGAACATGTAACAAATATGTAGTAGATGTTCTACCGATTTGGCTGCAAAAGAGGGAAGACATTATAATCCTTCCACACGGTTTCAGTGCTGAAGAGACTCATAAACAGGAACGGTAAAATGTCAATTTTCAGATGTATTGGCTGCCGGTCTCGTGGGATTTGTCCAGTCCTGGCCGAGTTCTTTAAATTCAGCTTGTAAACCTTTCTTTCTAGAACTGGAATATCCATCTCGTCTTTGAAATACCGTGTTGACATGATTGTTTCTATGGTTCAGTGACAGCAGTTAAACAGCTGTACAGGAGCCATGTACCATAACTGTAGACTGCTGTATTGACTCAGTCCTCGGAATTCAATAGACACTCGCAAAGCATTAAAGTGGTCTTAACAGACTGCTAAAGCCTTGGGAGTAGCTGCGTGCGTGGGAGAGACGGGTGTTTGTTATCCGCACCTGTTCTGCCTAAATTATTTTCTTTGCAGTAGAAATATGCGCCAAGCTTAGCGGCCTGCCTAGTCATAAATTAGGGTGACCATATGGGGCCTGTATATTTGTATGTCATTGAAGAGATTAGGCCAGGTCACTATCTGCAAGGAGTTTGCATGTTCTCCCTGTGCTTGCATGGGTTTCCTCCAAAGACATGCTGGAAGGTTAATTGGCTCCTGTCTAAATTGTACCTGTATGTATGCATGGGATAGGGACCTTAGATTGTAAGCTCCTTGAGGGCGGGGACTGATGTGAATGTGCACTGTTTGAAGTACTGCGTAAATTGTTGGCGCTATATAAAATACTTGTAGTAATAATTTGTAAACTTCCCAGCAGTCACTCAGTATAAGTTCTATGGAGATTTTGTATTTTAAGCACAATGCCAGGAAACAAATAAAAACCCACAAGAAAGTGCTAAAAAATAGTCTGCTCAGTTACCCCTTATATGAGCACCAGGTGATCCAATGCAGCCAGATTTGCAGAGAACTCCTCACGTGGGATTTCTGACGTCTCTGCTCTTTAAAGTGACACTAAACTCAGGAGTTGAATCTTAAAAATACATTCAAGTACCTTAACTATTAACAACAATGTATCTTATTTGTGTATCACTCGCCTGTAGATCCTCAAATCATCTCTGAATTGGTGCTGACACTGTCCTTCCTTCTGGAGGGGGGATACTTTTGTTCCCCATGGTCCCTGTGTGTGTTGTAAAGTAGTCACCGCTCCAAGCTCACTCCTGTGATGGGACTACAATCTCACCTTTAGTTAGCTAATTTGTACTGGGATTGTAGTCCATCACAGATGTGAGCTTGGAGCGCTGACTACTTTACAGCACACACAGGGACCATGGGGAACATAAGTAGCCCCCCTCCAGAAGGAAGGACAGTGTCAGCACCAATTCAGAGATGATTTGAGGATCTACAGCCGAGTGATACACAAATAAGATTTTTGTTAGTAGTTAAAGGAGAACTATGAGGTGAAGGATTTTCACTCAGCCTTATAATCTGAGCCAACCTGTGACAATTAAACTGTCACAGGTCGGCTCAGTAGATCGGGAAGTGAGCGAACACATACCGTCGCTCGCTCACTTCTCGATCAATCCCTGCAGAGAGCCGTGACTGTCACGGCTCCCTGCAGGGATTCCCCCCCCCTCCCCTGTCCGATCCTCCAGCGCTGACTGGCGGAACGGACGGGGGAGGGGGCAGGCACAGCTGGCTCTGCCAATGGACTGTAATGTCAGGATCCATCCCGGCTCCGGCATCTCAGTATATAGTGAGCTGTAGCTCGCGGTATACTGAGCTTTGGGTCCCGGGAGAACGCCAGTTTGTATTCTCCCGTGACCCTTAGGAGAACTATGGGGAAAAGCACTTATCCCATAGTTCTCCTTTTTAAGGTTCTTGAATGCATTTTTAAGATTTAATTCCTGAGTTTAGTGTCACTTTTTAATTTCCCCTGTTTGATCCAGATTGAGTCAAACTTCCAAGGCGGGTGGACATCTGGTGTCATACTGCTGACACTCTGATACATCAAGTTTTCTGAATGTGACAACATATTGTCTATTATAGCCTATTATAGGTGTGGTTGGCAACACCTCTCTTGCTATAGAAAGATCAGGAAGAAACAGGTTCCCAGATTATCAGATTACTAACAAAAGGGAACCCTGAGCAGGTTGTGATGTATGTGCTAAGCTTGTATGCATTGCAGAGCTTGCTTCCTAAAGTTTTGACTGGAGGGCATGTTTGTCTCTGAAAAAGTGGAATTGTTGTTCAGCGTTGAGTAATTGTCTTTCTGTACCATAAGAAGGCTTAGGCTAGGTTCACATCTAGGCGATTTATCGCACAAAACAGAGATTGGCATTGAAGTCAATGGAGGCTGTTCACACCTTTTTGGGATGTCGCGTGGACAAATTCGCCTGTTGCGCAAAAAAGGTGCAGGAGATAGTTTCGGGCGGCTGTCGCACGGTTTGGGTCCCATAGAAATCTCTATGCATTGAAAACCACAGTCGCGCAAATGAAAACGTGCGACAACCGCCCATGGTGTGAACCTAGTGTTAAAGATGTTGGTGCATTACTGCTGGTGTTATTTATAACGTTGTCTTGTTTGTTGGAACCAGTGTTAATGAATCTTAGTGAAGGAGTATTAGTTCTGTTTGAAGTTCGTTGCACTTTTAACAAGAGTTTTAGTCTTCTATATGTTGGCTTTTTTGATATATAAAATGAATAGAACTTGCAGCCCTGTGGAAGATCCAGAAGCTGCATAGGAGGCCCCCCAAATGTTGCTTTTGTATACCTCTCCTATATAGTAATGAAATATTGGTAAGAGAACCCCATTGTAATACTATATTTGTTTTACCATTTGCAGGCAAGTTATCCTGTGTGGGAAGATTTCATCAGCAAAGCAGGAAAATTGCAGTCTCAGCTCCGGTAAGTGTTTGGGCTTTTACTTTGTTTGCGTGTAATGATGGCCATCAGTGGCCTAATTCCCCCAGTACAAAGTTTGGGTAATAATTGGGCCTTTTTAGTGCTCCTCGATGGGGTGGTAGCGAGAGGGAGGGAAGGTGTTAAACATGTGCAGGTTCTGTCCAATAAAGTGGAACTCCTGAATTTATTCTAGTCTCCAAGCTGGTCCAGTGACATCATGGCATCTTCCTCTGGCAGTGATGGGGGGCATTCTGCTAGGACATTGAGGCTATCACTTCTGGACGTGTGAGTGCCCCTCAGTCCTCGAGTAGTCTGAGCCCAGCCTACGTGATATTCGCTCCCAAAGGGGCTTGTAAATGACAGGCTGGGCTCGTAGGAAAAGGGCAGAATGACATTAATGTAATTCTGGCTTAAGGAAGGCTGGTGCTGGACCAAGGAGGAAGCCATGGACAGCACAGAAGCATGGAGGGAGGGGTGATCTGTCCCAGTCCTATAGTCCATAGGCAGATGCCTTCCCACCTATCCTTTTCAGGGACACACCTACATGTTAGCTACCTTATTAAGGAAATAGTTATGGCTCAAGTCCAGGTAGCTATATCATTTGAGCAACCCAGACTCCCTTGAAACATTTTTTGCATACATATCTTTTGTTTTTTTATCCTGTCGCGTGGCATCATGGGTCTCCTTACCTCCGGCTGAATACTGCAGACAAAGGCATTGTATTCTGCATTGTAGTCTTCATTCTTGATGAAGTACCCCCAGATAGTGGGACCTCGACACCCGGGGCTCACAGGAAGAGGGTTCAATAACTCTGGGTGTCACTCAACCCAGAATAGGACTAGCACTAGAACGTTGAGTCTGCAGGGGTGGGGGGCAGCGCTGTAGAGGAAATTAGTATTGCAGTGAGAGCTCCATGCTTAGTGTTTAACTGATTGGCCATTCAAGCACTGAGCGCTGGGGAGGCAGCAAGAGTGTGATGTATCACTCCATAGCTAGAAGTATTGGATATATTTTTTATTTTTTTTAGGCTGCAGTGGTGGATTGGGGAGGGGGGTGCCATGGGTAAGCTAAATAAATGCCTCCCCCCCCCCGAGTCTCTGCAGTAACGTGAACCTGTTATTTAGTCCAGTATGGGCAAGGTACATGTTCACTTTAAGTCTAATTCCTCACTGGTGAGTCCTGACAATTTGTCAATGAAAATACTAGTCAATGCTCTGTGAAACTCGGTTGCAGCGAGGCGCGGGGGGATAACGGGGGGAGAGAGCTGACGTCTTTCATGCGCAGTCCGCTCTGCACAGCTATTCCTCAGCTTCTAAGAGATGGATCTGTTGCCGTAGCAACACAGGAGCTGGGTAGCGCAGGCTGGTTTCAACTAAGAAAGAGCAAAGTGAGGATAGGCTACCTAGATGTAGCCGCCAATTTCCTGTGTGCGCACCAAGGCTGATGTACTTCGGTTTGGGAATAACAAAGAGGTTCGGCTCCTGCAGAGTTATTGTGAATTAACGCTTCGTGACGAGACGAATGCTCTTGACTTTTCAGAGCCGTATGGAGGAGAGGGCAGGGTTTTTATATTTATTTTCTTCATTCGGAGAGCAGAGACAAATTCTGCAATGATCTGCAGTGTATGAAGACCATTCTTGTCCCTCCCTACCCCAAAGTAGCCTACAACAGGCTACTAGAAGCAGATGTACATGAGTCAATTTTAGGCCTCATTCACACTGCCGTATAATACGCTGCGCATAGATGCGCGCAGCATATTTTGCCATACGCACACAAATGGCTCCATACACATAGTTGCGTATGGAGCCATATTTTTGTGCAGCGTGAAGATGCGCAAAAACAAAATGGAACCAAGATGCGTCCAGGCTTGGAATTTCTTTGTATTTTACGCGCGTGCGCACGTACGTGCGTACAGTACATTAAAGTTTCTATAAAAAATGATGCATTCTGGGATTGCATACAATTCACGCAAATACGCGACTATACCCATTTACAAATATGTGTACAATTTTGCTCTTGCATGCTCACCCGAACTGCACGTCCGTGCGGGTGTCTGTACGCGTACGCAGACAGGCTGGATCCTGTGCAGTTCGGGTGAGCGTACGGCCGCGTCCTCCCATAGAGAAGAACAGGCTGCTGCGTACAATCACACACAGCACCTATCCTTCCTGGGAACAGCCCGATACGGCCATGCAGGCCACACGGACCTGTACGGGCCGACAGTTGACAGTGTGAATGAGGGCTTAGGGTTGTGGGAGAAAACTCAATTCCAACTCTAATTTATCTTTATCTTTCTACATCTACAGTTTCCTCTGATTTTGGTCTCATTACTTTTCTATGTAAAGTGCCATTTTAAACCTGCTACAAGCTTCGGGTTGCCACCTAGCTGGTATTTTACCAGCCTTTCTGGCACAAATGGGGGTTGCTGCCAGTGTTATTTGTGGGTAAGAGGTATTTTTTTCCAAAACAGCCGGCAACCTTATATGAGCTCTGCACTGCGCATTACTAGCAGTGGAAGTCAGGTTAGGATAATTACAACACATGGTTTGTTCTGAACATATAGGCGCTTTTGGTTGATGCATATTGCCAAAGGTAACATTAAGAATTGAGGAAACTGGGTAGAGTCACCTAAAAAAAAATCAAGATGCCTGGTTGTTGTCCTGACCCTTTGACTTCAGTACTGAATGAAGAGCATGTGCATGGCAGTCAAGCAACTAGAATCTTAAAGTGACACTAAACTCAAGAGTTGCATTTAAAAAATAAATTCCAGCACCTTAACTATTAAACACAATGAGGGAGATTTATCAATACTGGAGCAGACAGAATCTGGAGCAGTTGCCCATGGCAACCAATCAGCATCAACCTTTAATTTTCAAACCTTAACTGAACAAGCTAAACAGAAAACTGATTGGTTGCCCTGGGCAACTGCTCCAGATTCTTCTGCTCCGGTTTTGATAAATTCCCCTCAATGTACCTTATTTATGTATCACTCGGCTGTAGACCCTCAAATCATCTCTGAATTGGTGCTGACACTGTCCTTCCTTCTGGAGGGGGGCTACTTTTGTTCCCCATGGTCCCTGTGTGTGTTGTAAAGTAGCCACCGCTCCAAGCTCACTCCCGTGATGGACTACAATCTCATGTTTTAGTTTACTAATTTTATATTGAGATTGTAGTCTGTCCTGGGAGAGAACTTGGAGCGGTGGACACTTTACACAGGGACTCAGGATAGACTACAATCTCAATACAAATTAGTAAACTAAACATGAGATTGTAGTCCATCCTGGGAGTGAGCTTGGAGTGGTGACACACAAGGACCATGGGGAACAAAAGTAGCCCCCCTCCAGAAGGAAGGACAGTGCCAGCACCAATTCAGAGATGATTTGAGAATCTACAGCCGAGTGATACACAAATAAGATACATTTCTGTTAATAGTTGAGGTACTTGAATGCATTTTTAGGATTTAACTTCTGAGTTAGTGTCACTTTAAGAAGGATCTCTTGTGTACAGGGCAGGCAGCGAAGCAAGATCGAATGGTTCCAATCCACTTCTAGCAACGTGTGGGGCTTAAGTGCTCTGTGACTGCCTATGTGCATGATGCCCTTAGTGAAAACCTGTCATGTGGAATACATAGTGGCAGCCATTGCTGACCTCTCCTGCTTGGCTGCTATGCATGCCCTCTGGGTTCACTATTGAACGCGTATGCAAATGAATGCTTTTGATTTTTCTCAGTCAGTGAAGTCAAAGGGTCAGGAGAACAACCAGGCATATGGCACTTTTTAGGAGGTCAGCAATAGTAGCCAACACAGTTGGGCTACCAAATCTGTGATGGGAGAAACAAGATGACTGGCATTGCTGATCTCATTCTGAAATAATTTGCCTGACTGTTGTGTTGACCCTCTGAGTCACGGACCTGGAACTATGTAAATCTGAAAGGTGGGAGACAAGTCAATACTTATCTGCTTTCTTGTTCCAAATCCATGATCCAAAATATTGAAGCAAGAGACTTAGCATGGCAGTCGCGTAACTAGTATTTTCAAAGGAGAGATCAGCAATAGCCTCCATGATTTTTCATGACCACTTTTAAGTGGTGGTCATGTGGCCTGAAGGTGCTCAGTATAGAACTGAAATGCAGTAATGAAAGGTGCGGGCCAGGGACAGTAAAGCTTGGGAGGAAAGGGTTAGAACATGTTGGATGTCCTCCAGCCAGGAAATGAGATGGGCTCTCTCTTATTCACTGCAGCTTCTAATTGTGAGAAGCTCAGAGTGTGCAGTGAAATGAGAGGAAGCAATTTCAGTCCAGGAGAGGAGACGGTACAAGCGTGCAACACTGAAGGCAATGCCGGAGTTCAGCCTTAAAAATGGAGTATGTGGCCAGCATTAATCCCACACACCTCCAGTTCCCATCTGCTTTCTTTATGACAAATGCTGAATTTGGATGTGGCTGCTTTTTTGGTTCAGATGACACAAATATTAGAGTAGGATAGTCCTTGATACACACAGATACCCCAGTGTTAACAAGCAGATTTTGGGATTGGAGCACACTGAACTCACATGTGAATTGCTAGCTATTTTGCCGAGCTGGGAATGCAAAAACTCCAAAACGGAGAGCATGGTAAGTAGCTATTTGTCTTTTTATTACAGAATTGCTGGTTTTACATGTGGTTCAGCTTAAGTTCTTTAAATAAATACATAGCCTGCTATTGTGCTGCACCTGCAAATTCTCCATCGAACAGCTAGCAATCTAACTCTGTATTCCTTCCTCTGTAGGACTACTGTAGTGGCAGCTGCTGCCTTCCTGGATGCCTTCCAAAAAGTGGCTGACATGGCAACCAACACTCGGGGTAAGCGGACAAGTGCTTCAAGCAAATTTTACCCCTGACACTTTTTCAATTACTGTGCTCAAGTCAGATGGCTTCTGTTAGGAAAATGGGCCGATTTCTCAGCTTCATGGTTATTAGCAATCTCAATGCTAGGGTGTGCCGTGCAGTGTTTTCACTTTAATTTCTTTAAATGCAACTTAAAATGACACTAAACTCAGGACGTAAACCTAAGAATACATTTCAAGTACCTCAACTATTAACAACAATGTATCTTATTTGTGTATCACTCGGCTGTAGATCCTCATCTCTGAATTGGTGCTGACACTGTCCTTCCTTCTGGAGGGTGACTACTTTTTTTCCCCATGGTCCCTGTGTGTGTTGTAAAGTAGTCACCAAGCTCACTCCCGGGATGGACTACATTCTCAATACAAATTGGTAAACTGAATGTGAGATTGCAGTCGAGTGATAAACAAATAAGATACATTTTTGTTAATAGTTAAGGTACTTGAATGTGTTTTTAAGATTTTAACTCCTGAGCTTAGTGTCACTTTAAATTAGGTACATCTACAGCAGGGGTAGGCAACCATGACACTCCAGCTGTTGTGGAACTACAAGTCCCATGAGGCTTTGCAAGGCTCTGACAGCCACAGACATGACTCCCAGAGGCAGATGCATGTTGGGATTTGTAGTTTTGGCACAGATTGAGTGCCGAGGTTGCCTACTCCTGATCTACAGTCATGAACGCAACTTGGTCAAATTTTTTTTACGTTGAGGTCGTCTTTGACACCAGGTAAAATAAATTCTAAGCCCACATAACCACTCAGAGTTAGCATTTTTCTGGACATTTCTAATCTGGTTATGTTCTGGTTGCTGCTTTGTATGTATTTTGTAGGGGGTGTGTGTGAAGGTCCGCTTTCAAACCTTAAAGCGGACCTTCACACTCAAAAATCTAATTCCATCAATGCATCCCTCCTTTGTATGATTATTAATAATAACATGGACATGTCGGGTGTAAAATGCTGCAATTATGAAATACACTTGCAGAACATTCACTTCCTGCTTTTGAAAGGGCAAAATGACTTCAGTTTGGCCAAGCAATGCACACTGGGATTGCCTTGCCATCAGCAGAGCATTGCTGGGAAATCTCATCTGGAAAGACATTTTCCTCCCCTGAGATGATGTGCATGGTCACATGTCCCAGTCACATGTCTAGTCACATGTTCCAGATTTTCAGGAAGTAAATGCAGATCTAGTAACCTGCCCTTAGTAAACATGGCCACTGTCAGAAGACTGGGGAAGAAAATAAAAATAAGGTATGCACAGAACACAAAGCCGGCTATTATCTAGAAGAATGTGTTTGTAGATTGTCATCACTAAACATTACTAAAGGTGTGTTTGTTGTTATTTTAAAGATATGGGGAAAGGTCCGCTAGGCATAAACAAGCTTTAAGGGCTTGTTTATGCCTAGGGAACAGGAAATAGCTATTTTAATTACCTGGTCCCCACTTCTGCTGGCTCCCTTCAGGCTGCTAGACTAGTCCCCGCAGCCTCTTCTTCCCTTTGTTCTGGTGGTCTAAGGATCACTGACATCATTACATCTGATGTAGGTTCCATAGACCTGCATTAGACGTGAGGATGCTGAGCAACATTCCTCCTGCCCGAGCGGAGGTGCTAAACCATGGGGGGATCTAATAATAAGTGCTTTACTTCAGTCCCCTAGGAATAAACGAGCACTAAGTGGGGCCACCCCTGCACTGCAAGGGTCGTTTTTTTGGTTTGCTTGATGTCTCCTGGTGCCTTCATTTCTGAGAGTTTGCCAGCAGAAACACCTCATTGATCACAATGTTGCCTTTCATACATGGAGGCTGATACTAAAGAATTTTCAGTTTTGTAATGCATGTCCTCATATGTTTTCAACCCCTAATCTACCTAGTTGTTGCTAGAGACATTCCCATAGGGCAGACCCTGTATGACCAGGCTGCCTTTAGACCTTAGACAGCAACCACACATATATGCCCAACAAGGCTTCCAAAGGATACTTCTAACCAAAGATCCTTCTGCAAATATGCATTGGGTGAAATGCTTCCCAATGGTTTCAGCCTTTTCAGAAGGAGCAGTAGTGGTTGGTGCGGGTCATCTGTCCTGATAAAAGCCTGCTAGATCTGGCTGCAGGAGATGGAAACCTAGATTAAGGTAAATCGAGCCCTACACAAGCATGGAAAGGTTCACTGATTTTTCTTGTTGCATTCAGTTTTCATTTTCTCTACCCGATGAGCTTGGCTATTGGATAGTATATCACACTGAAGGTTTGGCAGTCGCCAGAGGCTGCCTGACTGAGTCCGCTAGTCCATTTTATTGTCGGGACTGACCCTGCGGTCAGCACACGTCCTATGCTATGATTTTGCCTGTATCAGCAGTGAGCCTGGGATGGTTAATGTGACTGGATAGTGTCAGTGTGTGAATGGTGGAATGTAACACCCTGTGTGCGATTGCAAACTTCCAGAGGACTCTGGGGCTTCACACAAGGTTATCGTGTTATCACCCATCAAAGAGGACCTGTCTTTCCTGTGACAGATCTACAGCACCATCTTTTCCTAACAGTTGTGCTCGAAGATGCTGAATATAAAGAGCCGTTGCTTAGTTTATTTATTGGTGGAGGGATTAAAATGTATGCAGTGAAATTAAAAGCTGGAAAGGTAGAATAGTTATTGGGTTAAATCTGCAAATTATACAATTAAAGTGATGCCCAGCAGTAACCAGATGTGTAACCTTCTCAGGTCTGAATATATATATTGTCTTCAAAGCTGCTCTGGTCCACCAGAAGACGGAATGTACATTTCTCCTTGAGTCTGCAAAAACTTAGAGACACTGTCACTGTACCCATGCAGGGAAAGTGACAGCCTCCCCGAACCCCTCATGTTCACCTTACCCTTGCTCACGTGACACCCCTTGCTTATTCACAACCAGTGGAACTTCTAGGTGCTCCTGGTAATACGTGAGCCTGTGACCTCCTCCCCTGTGACAGTGCTCAGGCACGGCAGGTATGCGCTAATATTGAGCACTGTCACATGACCACGGGAGTGACACCACCACTCCTCCTGGTCGCCACTTCCGCTGATATCAGTGGTGACTGCAACAGAGGAGTGCAGGCAAGCTGGAGTATCGGGGGGGGGGGGGGGGGGGGGGGGGGGCAATAGAATTAATAAAAATAAAAATTATTAAAATATCCCCTACAATAGTGGTAGTTTCAAATCGCTTACATGGCAGCTTTAGTGTACTCTATACTGGAGATAAAATCTCCATGCTACTGGATGATTTAAAATGTGTATCTATAGCAGAAACCTATTTTTTTTTCGTTTTGGATAGAGTAGGGACGGGTTAAAACCCCTGCCTGATTATTTTGTTGCTGCCTGTGTATCATTGGGGAAATTTCCCTTCACAACTTGTGCCAGAGACTGAACAGGAAGGTAGATGAAATCTCACAAGGTGAGAGGAGTTCCCCTCTTAGGGCCGGTTCACACAAGCTCCGGTGCGTTACAGCACGATTTGCTGCTGCGGGAGGGGCCATAGCGGTGCATTGAAGTCAATGGTACCGCAATCACGCCCCTGCGATCATCCGCACCGAAACGTGTGGCACATCATTGCCTGCGTTCCGGTCCAGTGCGATCTGAAAAACAGCTGCATGCGGTCCAGCAGCTAATCGTGCTGGAACGCATCAGGGCCGATGAGAACTGGCCCTTAGAGTAGTAGCCAGAACAAGTGCCCTCATTAGAAGATTTCCCCTCGCCATTTGTTCTGGGTACAACGACAATAGTTTGGATTTTCTCTCTTGGTGACAGTATTCACCAGTACAAATAGAGGCCTAGTCTCCCAATGGGAATGCTGGCAGCAATAAAAACTTGAAAGAGGGGATAGTCCTTCTCCACTTTATCCAAAACTTAAAAAAAAAAGGTTTTGCCTAGAGGTACACTCAAGCTACTGGTAGCAGTATCCTCATTTGTAACACTGAAATCAATATGCAATAATATGATGGGTAACAAGTAGTTAAAGTAGAAGTACCCCCAACTTCTGTCCAGCGAAAAGACCTCCAAAGAGCTCCCCTGCTGGCACCAACACCTTCTAGTCCAGGGGTGGGCAACTCTGGCCCTCCAGCCAGGATTTAACTACAAATCCCAACATGCTTCTGCTTTTGGGAGTAACGGTCAGTCTTGCAGTGCCTCATGGGACTGGTAGTTCCACAACAGCTTGAGGGCCAGAGTTGCCCACCCCTGTTCTAGCCAGTTCTTCTGGGTTCCTGATCTTTTGGCCATCTTGATTGGCCAGGCCTGGGATGAGGTAACTCCTGCGTATGCGCAGAGGTGTTCATTTGTCCCGGCACCCTGCCGATGCCAGGATTGGACACTGAGCTGGTCTTGCTCCACATAGCAACCAATCAGCTTCTAACAGCTTTTACTTTAGTCCAGATTTCTGATTGGTTCGTACAGCAAGCAAGACGTTTGCCTGTTGACACACTCTTCCGATAGTGACTTCTAGTAAAACTGCCGGCTGCTTTCTCTTAAATGTCTGAGCCTTGCGGCTTCCACTAAGTTTCTGGAACATATGGCTACTGTTTTAGGCAGCCAATCAGGTCTTCTCTGTAATTCCCCATCCTGCTTCAAGAGACATAAATGATCACTGGCTGCTAAGGGAAGATTCTATAAATCTGTGCCGTGTGCAGGTGATGGTGCATTTTAATTCCACATTTAATGGCTATCTGCAGCGTATCAATCCTTTGGTGTTGAGTGTAGGCGTTAGAAGAATTGGCTTTTTATACAGTTCGCTTGTAATTAGCGCAGCCATATAAAAAGCTCTCGATAGGTCTGTGCTAAGCTTGCGGGTCCCGTTCCTTTTTATTTATTTTTTTCCCTCCCTCTCTGCTTTGAAGGTCAGGTATTAAAGCTCATTTTAGCATTCGTGTCAGACCGGAATTAGTGCTGCTTTGATGCTCCTCGCCGAGGGTTTCACCAATGTGATGGATGAAG